AACAACGAGGTACGAAAACAACGAGTAAACACAATGAATTCAAATAACACCAATTGATATGACACACCACACGTATATACAAACAGTACACACAAACTCGCATTTCATGTCTTGATGGAATTCCTTTGAAGAATTGCAGGACTTACACCAGTACGCCTACACCTTCTCAGGTTGACGAATTGTGGAATGTCCGGACACAACAAACCAACAATTCAATTCTCACACAATATTTAACACAAACTATGTACAATCAACATCAAATGTTGTGATTCGGCAGACAAACTCCCTTGAAGAATGTAGGACTTACAGCAGTACGCCTACATTCCTTCTCAGGTTGATGATCCAAGTGGAAGTCGTCCGGACACAAACAGAATTACCAACAGCTAGATGACAGATGATATCAATTCAGTATATACAATATGAACATATGTACAAAATCACACACCAGCACATTGGACTGCTCATTGATGCGCTACCCTTTGAAGAATTGTAGGACTTACAGCAGTACGCCTACAACCCTTCTCAGGTTGACGCTCTAGGTTGGAAAATCGTCGCAGAGTTCATTTGCTAACTTCCTTCTATCAGCTATATCCTCAAATCTGAACGGCAACACGCCCATGTCATTGTATCGTAGAATATAGATGACCAACAAACACACGACATATCTCATCAACCAAGTATAGAAACAGAGTAATTTACACCAAAGATAATAACATTCAAATAGTAACTTGAAACTAGAAATGCCTTTATTCGTGCAAGTCAATTTAACAATTACTCTCTCCTTTACACTTGGCTTATCCACACTAAACTGACCATTGATATTCGTCCTTTCAAACGAACTGATACTACCATAGTCATTGCACAAGATACTTGAGTTGATGGGTGTCTGTTTCATTGTGGATGACAGCACCAACGATGACTGAGTGACACAAGGTGATGAACTTAGTGGTGGATCAGAAGCTGTTCTTGTTCGGCTCTCAGATAGTTGTCCAACTGCAAGATTACCACCACTGCTGTCTTTCACTACTAGTTCGGGTTTAGCACTAGCATCTGATGATAGGTGGGCTACATGCTGATCAATCACACTGACGGTCTCACAAGTATCCATAACTTCTGCAACTGCATCTGCATTTATTTCTACTTCACGTTCAAGTTGTACAGAAACTTTGTTCAACTTAGCAGTAGTAGGCATATCCCTCATCTCATCATGATCAACCAAAGACAAATGTGCACTATCATGATCATTACCACAAATATTCAATTTACCGTCAACTTCATCATTTTCAAACTCTTTAATAACAGAAGTAGACAATTTTGGTTCCTCCTCACAAATCCTTAAAGGTTTTATATCTTCACTCTGACTAGTAATACCTTGTAAACTTGTAGGGTCAGAACTGCACTCTGAAGCAATAACTCTATTCTGTGACACTCTATTCAACAATGGCTTACCAGTTGCAACTACAGACTTCTTCACCGCACCGTTATCGTCACACAATTCGGAGTCAGACCTGGAGTTTACATTTAGCTTATCACTGAACTTGCTCACTGGTTCACAGTTCACTTCTGTATGCACCTCTTGCACACGTGTAAACACAACCGTGTTTGTCTTGCATCTTGTAACTTATCTGTTGAGGATGTACTACGAAACCTGTTACACTCACTAGGTCTATATGCATTACTAGACATCATGGAGCCTTCTCGATATCCACCTCTCTGAGGCCCTTTCGTCATCAATGATTGCATTTTACCCTCAGACTGCTCTATTCTAGGGGTGAGATGTAATAGACTGGCGAACTTGCTCATAGATTGATTGACACTAGTATTTACCAGTTTCAGGATATCATCAAACTTTGGCTCGATACCCTCATCCTCCATACGGGAGCTTATCTTCACCCACTTCCTTTGCAGTCGAGTAGGTAGACGTCTTGCTATTACTTCTAGTATAAAACTCGAGTTGAGGTCACTCATGCGATTCATCGAAATCATTCCATTCTTGTAAATTAGCAAATTATCTAAAAACTCAGTGAGTGCCTGGGAGTCATCCTGTAATTGACCACCATTACCCTTAACAGCCTCGAATAATTTCCCTGCAATCATCGAAGGTCTTCCAAACCTTTGACGTAATATGCTCATAGCCTCGTAGTAGCCCTCTTTTGGCTTCATAAACTTACAGCACTGTATAGCTCTTGCAGCATCTCCAGTGCAATATCTCATCAAATACATTAACTTCAATTCATCATTTAATAAAATACCACTCAACATGATCTCAAACTCCTTTACAAATTGTAAATAATCAGCCGGGTTTCCATCAAAACACCGTGGTTCAAATTTAGGGAGTTTGATGTTCCTATTATCCCTGAACGGCGAAACAGTAACATCAACCATGTCATGCTTAACATCAGACACATCGTTACAATTAACAGACAAGTCACCATGACTTACTTTCCTGTTTGCATCCAAGACACTCTGTCCCTTCTTTGACCCAGGCATTGTTGAACTTGACCCAATTCCAAAAAGTTCCAGATATTGCTTGTTCAAAGAGGACTTGACCGGCACCAGGAAAGATGAACGGTGACTATCCAAACTTTCACCAACTGTTTGAATCCGCCAGATCTGTTTCTATCGTCAGAAACTGTCAATCACGTCTCATAAACCGTTAATGCCCAGCTCTCGCTACGCTCGGGCCCACGCTGTTCTTCGAAGATTTCTCAGAAACGCTTAGTTATAACGGACGCAAAAACCAAAACACCGATCTGCCGTTTGATATTTCTGTATTGTTACACCAACATATAAAAGGAATAAGCGAACTAAGGTCTGTAAACAAATATTACAATAATAAATCGTTATATTACTTCTGACGATGTTTCACTCTTCTTTCTGAACAGCGACCGATGAGACGATGACTGTCGTATTGATGCCTCCGCGAAAATTGGGGAAGTTGATTTTGAGCAAACAACCAAGAATTGATCGTTCAATCTTCAACTCCATTGACACCGTTCATCTTCGTAGATGATCTGTGAGTAGCTTACACATTCCAATATGGTGACCTAAGGTACTTTCATGATGTTGCGCATAATGAAATAGATAAAGTTGTAACAACAGAAGACAGGGGCCGACAACAGATCGTTTTATTACGGAAATCAACACGTATTTATATATATTTCACATACATTATTATAGCTTATTCAAGTAGACAAACGCAGCCTTCTGATCGGTTGTTTCTCAGAAGTCAAGCAAACAAACGCAGGATTCCGATTGGTTGTTTCGGGTAACCATAGAAAAGTGGAGCCATCTATCTGCGAATCGTATTTGCCCACGTTTAAGTTTGCTGTGATTGGTTGTTGAATCAGCCTTGCTCATATTTTCTCACGGCCAGTATTGGTGACCTAGTCATTGACGTAGATTAATGTCTACCTATTGGCTAGCAGCCTGCTCTCACCACAAAGTGACTGCATGGTCATCTTTATTAAACCTGAACAGTCTGAACAAATGTAGTTAAGCTTGCTTCTGCGAACCCGTGGCTGACGTAAAATCAACGCTTCATTCCCCCAATCTACATAGAACTCAAAAAGCCATTAACTTAGGTCTCAGGCACTCTATTGACTTAGCGCTTTCTGAGCAAGTGGCATAGCGGACCAGAAAGTCGAGGATGATTTAAGTATGCATACTAAGGAACTCACACGACAATGGAGTAAAACTAATTGTCAGCCGACTATCATAAACTGTCAATGTCCAGAAAGTGATTCATCGGCGACGGTGGTTACCATCACGTGCCAGCCAACGCACTTTCCTATCATTAAGCGCCGAATGTGCAGTATTCAGTATAAGTCTTGGCATTAGCCCTTCATGTTGCCGGCGCGACGAGGGTTACGAATGTCGTAACCATGATAGCTTGCTTAAGGAAAGTGAGGTTGACCTACTGAGGGGGCGAGGTGCACGGGCTGCGGGTTATTACAATCCTCCTAATGACACAGAACCTCCACGAGGCTTGTTGATATGGGACCTGCTGTCAAAACTCACTGGTTACAGAAGAGCAAAGATCTTTTTTACAGCCAGCGAGAATAGAAACCATAACTGAAATGTTCCTACCTAGACTGGTAGCCTCTACAACCATGTGAACCACCTCTGTAAATCCATCAGAGGTTACTTGTGATAAGATGCCAGGGTTCCTTATCCTGTCTGTCATAATCGTGATAACCATAGTTGTCAAAGGAAATAGACAACTGTTTGAAGTCAGTGGCTAGCTGATTTATCCTACGAGGCTGCTGAGAGGACTTATAGTCTCAAAGACCTAATTCACTGAAGCGATCTTACAGCTTGTTTCTGCACATAAGTCGAAATCTGCTGATAAAAGCAGTTTTCAGGAAGTCAACCAATTTTAAGAGTGGGTTGTGTACGACATTTGAGACACCCACACTCACAGTAACCAAGTTAGACCTAGTTTCCTGAGACTCCATGCATATAGACAGTGTAGTCAGAGGGTGCAATGCTGGTGGGTAACTTCCATCCTCCCAGAGGATTTCCTGCAAAACGCAGCCGTATCATACGCCGTAGCGATGAAATACAGTAAACGATCAATAATTTAAGGTACTCGAAGTGTGAATCAGTCATGCAAAACTAAAATAGAACTAATTAAGAAGTAAAGGTATGAGTAAGTTAAACGAGGTGTGGTCAGGAAGTGGGCTTACTTAATATAAGTGGTTGTGCCTTTGATATCTTACTCTTCCCCTGTCTTACCAGATAGTGTATGCTCAAGTGCCCGCCTAACCACCACCTCAACTGACTTGATAGTACGGATAACAAACATGAATCAAAGAGACTCAGTCATTTAGAAATGTAATGCGAAGAGCAGTAAATCTGAATAGAGAAGATGCTAAGGTTTTTAAAGGGGGATATTTCAGAACTGATCTGGTTAATGCCTCTAACCTCGAACTGTAAGGGTGTACACATACAGCCTACTGAAGGTAACGTTAAGCTGAACTTGGGAAAAAAGAGAAAAAAAATCATGATTTGTTGTGCTAAAAGTTAGTTTGGTAGGCTGATTAGATATTATAAAAAATTAATATAAAGTAATACCAGTCATCACTATTTATAAAGACATTTGTTTTAATCATGCAAAGTATAAATTCTCTTCGTTTTGTTGAGACATTTACGGTCACGTACAGATTTCCCGAAAATGTCGAGAGCTAAAGTTGGTATCAACGGTTTTGGTCGTATTGGACGACTTGTACTTAGAGCATCAATTCTTAAAAACACTGTGGATGTTGTTGCTGTGAATGACCCTTTCATTGATTTGGAATATTTGGTGTATATGTTCAAGTATGATTCCACACATGGGAGATTCAAAGGAGACGTGTGCGTTAAAGACGGAAAATTATGTGTTAATGGAAAGTTGATATCTGTCCACAATGAAAAGGACGCATCCCTTATTCCATGGGATAAAGATGGTGTTGAGTATGTGGTAGAGTCCACCGGAATTTTCACAACTATTGATAAAGCCAGTGTAAGATTGTTTGCTAATTTTTATTATTTTGCCTCAGGCACACATTAAGAATAATCGAGCCAAAAAGGTCATCATCTCAGCTCCCTCCGCTGATGCTCCAATGTTCGTTGTTGGCGTGAATGAGAAGTCGTATGAAAAGGGGATGACGGTGGTTTCAAACGCATCATGCACGACAAATTGTTTGGCTCCTTTGGCTAAAGTCATCCATGATAACTTCGAAATAATTGAAGGCCTTATGACTACCGTTCACTCGTACACAGCTACGCAAAAAACTGTTGACGGTCCTTCTCAGAAAATGTGGCGAGACGGTCGTGGAGCTGCTCAAAATATAATTCCAGCTTCTACCGGTGCAGCCAAGGCAGTTTCCAAGGTTATCCCCGCATTGCAAGGAAAGTTGACTGGAATGGCTTTCCGAGTCCCCACAGCGGATGTTTCAGTCGTCGATCTTACATGTAGGTTGGCCAAAGGAGCTTCCTATGATCAAATCAAGGCTGCTGTAAAGGCTGCAGCTGAGGGGCCAATGAAAGGCATTTTGGAATACACTGAAGATGAGGTGGTTAGCTCAGACTTTATAGGGTCCACATCATCTTCTATTTTTGACGCTAAAGCTGGCATATCACTCAATAATAATTTCGTGAAACTGGTTGCTTGGTATGTTACATATTTTCACTTACTGACCTCACTTCATTTTTAGGTATGATAATGAGTTTGGCTACAGTTGCCGAGTCGTTGATTTGATTACTCACATGCACAAGGTTGATCATGCATAATGAAATAGTCCTCACTGTAGTCGGTAATTTTTTGTCAAGTAATAGAAAAAGCAATAAAGTGTTTATTTAACATATGTTTGTTGTAATTTCAGTCGATTGTGAAGCTAGGTCGCTGTACGATATGTGGTTATAGTAAATATTGCTGTTGGTGTTCAGTTTAAGCCATGACTCATTCATTCTGCCCAATATTGCTTAGGAAATTTTTTCTAATTTGCACGCATTAGTTCTGGAATTATCGTTTAAATGTAATTGGTGCAGAATAGGATACCTTTTACAGCCCTTGTATTTTTATGGTTGGTTTCTAAAGTACTCAGGTAAATGGAAACAAGATTTGTGTATGCCTTGGTATGTTTTATATGTTTCGTCGATAAGTAAAACAAAACTTGACTACTTGGTAGATAATGACCGGTATTCGGGCCCTTGGTTTATTTTATCGTCAGTGTTATTCCTGTTGCTTAGACACTTAGCTGGTGTACATCTAAAATGTTGCAACTGCCAAAAGATGTACCTGATGGATGATTTTATTGGAATTCAGAAATGGAAAATGATAAAATGTATACACAGTCTTTTGTGCACCTCAAATATCAGTCCATTAGTTCCATGAACCACGGGCCACTGTAAATTACTAGTGCATTGCATATCACTTCCGGATTCCTCTATTTTTCACACCATCTTAGTCATGTTATGAACAATTATTGGCGAAGTCACACAATAGCAATCACCCTGACACATGACCTTCGATAACCAATTAGATTTACAAATGATATAATCGAATCAAACCATGCCTTCTGTCCTATGTTCGCTTGACGGGTTCCGGGACATCGAGAGTTTGATTGCTGTGTGTGCAATGAAATAGTTATGGTTAGTAAAACATACGAATACTGGGAAGCTTACCAGGATAACTGGTCTTTCAAGAGGAGTTCGATTTCGAGGTAGATTAAAGAGCCCAATCACAAACAGATCCCAGAACACCATGATACACAGCCATCTAAACAATTTTGCGACTTTTATTGCTCCTTAATTTTCGTTAGTTGCTTAAGATCAGTGGTGAGGTTGATTAGGGTAATTGTTACATTTAACCCCCGCAATTTCATCCTGGCTTCTTTCGGCTAGCTTTTCTGACTGTGGTTAAAAATCTTTGAGGATTTCATAGATGTGAAGACAGACTTCATAAAGAACCTGCTTTACTATGCGAGTCCGAAAGCACTGGGTGGCCATTCCGTTCTAGTTTGTTATTATTCAACAGTGTGAACCCGAGACCATACCACGAATCTAAACCAGATTATAAGGGAACTATCATTTAGCTACTGGGTTGTAATCGAATGGCTGATGATTTGCTTTTCCTATTGTGGTTGAAAAGATAATTCATGAAAATAGGTCCCTATGAAAATGTTCGCTTGCCGGGACGCTGATACCACTTTCAGGATGAGAAACGCAGTTGATAGCACTTGAATAAGTGGAGTTGAAATGTACGTACGTGCCTTTAAAGTCAGTCATTCTTCTCCCTTTTTATCGTCAAACCTTTACAGTTTGTTTAGAAAGCATAGCATTCTTCCTGAGGAATGGATGAAGAAGTTTTTCGTTGAGTGTAATAGCTAACAAAGTGATTGCAAATTAGAGATTATTGGTTTGTTGTTCTAAACTGTTTTGAAGTGTTACATGCTATTTACAGAGCTTCATATTTATTACGGTAGTAGAGTGCATGGTTCACACTAAATTTCAACTTTGATTTTCTGAATTCTATTCAGTCTGATTTAGTATATTCTGTTTTCAGATCATCATGAAATCATCCAGTTACTTAGTCAAAATCCTTCGAAGTTATACAGATTACTTCCATTCTAAAAGATTAAGTGTTGCAGGAAATTCCTTTCTTAACAGACTGTACATATGAAACATCTTAAAATTACTTAATTTGACCTCATACTGAACAGTCTTTTTGCGTTTACTATGACATTTCTAATTCCTAATAAATCAGCTAAGGTATATTAGGCATTTTCCAAATGGGAAGTGATGAGTAGGTTGTCTCAGGGTGAGATGGAGGAGACCATGTGAAGCGGAAATGAGAAATTATGGGCAATCGTGAACCCAGCTGAAGAGGATGGCAGAGTATAGAACAAAGTAGAGATGCTATTAGATAGTTGGAGGCAATCGGCCACAGAAAGCCTTGGACCTAGGTTTCGTGCTAGTTGGCACTCACCAGTCAGCAAGGTGTATCTGCAGCTACCTTGAAGGAACTCATGTCCCTTCTGAGATTCGAACCCACGTCACCCAATGCTGCAGTCAGAGACCTCATCACTAAGTTATTCGGGCTTGCGATTGACCTCCTGTAGGACTCCGGTGAATATTTTGATTGGGCACTAGTAACTAGTGTCTAGCTCAGAGGTAAGGTCTCTGACTGCAGCATTGGGTGACGTGGGTTCGAATCTCAGAAGGGACATGAGTTCCTTCAAGGTAGCTGCAGATACACCTTGCTGACTGGTGAGTGCCAACTAGCTCGAAACCTAGGTCCAAGGCTTTCTGTGGCCGATTGCCTCTAACCATCTAATAGCATCAAATCAATGTGCACCGTGATGGATGGCGAGCTACCTAGAATGTTGGCCACATTGCAAACCTGACTGATAGAATTCAGTCTGCACCAAAGAAAGGGCTAGACACGTCGCACTAGTTACCAGTGTCCAATCTGAGTAGAGATGTGTTGTTGAGGGCCTAACTTCCACTTGGAACCCAAAGGAATAATGATGTTAGGCATTTTATTATTGATTGTTAAAGACTCTAAGCAGCCGAAGCACCCAGCGGAATGAAATGAATCCATGTTATTCTTCGCTTTCACAAGTTGTGAATAGAATTAATAAATATTGTAAAACAGTTTCATGTTATTTAACTGCATAATTGTAATTCATCAATGTATATTTGTGAGGAGAAAAATGTCCTAATCGTCTATATTCGAGATTAATTGATTTCATGATCTTACCTTATCATCATTTTCAAGATAAACAGTTTCAATTAATTCATATTCTCAATATCCAATCCAGTGAATTAAAATGTTTCCAAGTCTAGTTTAAGGATGTTACTGAACACATGGTTAAAAGATCTCAGCCCGTTTTGAATACGTGATCAAATGAACTTAGTTATTATTCAATAAATAGTTCTCAGTCTCATTCCTTACTTTCCGAGAGGAACATAGAGCTTCAATCTTTGAAGTTTCAATACTCAAGGGTTTGTTTGGTGGGTAGCTAGCCTCAAACTTATTCTTCCTTCCTTTCCAGTTTTACTACCGGCTACTAAATTAAGTGGGTTAGAGGAGAATGGAACCCGTACCTTTGGTGTGAACCACCGATGTATCCAATAGGCACTTTGTGAATGATTACTCGATATCTATTGTCTAATCGAATTCACTTGCTTAGATATTGTATTCATAAGGTCTCATAAAAAAGGAATTCGTAATCTACTACCATTTAATTGAGGAATCAGATTGTAATTGTATTAGATATGTCACTAAGCTATTCGAATTATTATATTTAATTTAAATGGCTTAACAAAAAGTTTTAACATCAGCTGTATAATCATGATACATGAATTGTGTTCAACGTCTTTTTTCTAAAATATTACAAGACTTGAAAGAATTATTAAGTTAACCATAAGTTTTATCTGTCCCACTTTTTCACCATTTCACTTATTGATGTTTTAAGAGCCAGATAGTATCGTTAGTTCTTAATATCAAGTTCATAAATATCCATCTGACTGCCTACACTGTTGGAGGGTTTTTTCGTGAACATTTGTAAGGTGGAGGTATTACTAGAAATGACATAGATAACATAGGAAAAATTGGGTAGATTTTTGGACTCACGTGAGAAACGGGGGAAAATGTAGATAATTTCTTTGTTGATAACGTGGGGAAAGTGTGTAAATAATTTTTCTCCGGAGAATATAGGAAAGTAGGCGACAACTTGAGGAAAGTGGTTATTTCACGTTACATCTCGCCCACCTCTCACCCAATAAGAAATTGCCTGTTTTTTCACATACATTCTCTGACTGGGTAGGTGTGGAAATAGGCAGTTGACAAGGCTTTTCTTGTTGATATGTGAAGTATTCTGAGACTGATTATCTTTGTCAATGAATTATTTTGGATTGCGCGTAGTTAGTAGTTGGTGATAATAGTATCGCCTATGCTTTAATTTTTAAGTAAATTTGAGTCGGTATTCAAAAACAAGTAAATTACCACATGGTAGGGATGGATGTCTTGTTGGCGTATGTTTATTGGCTGACTGGATAAAGTTTGAGCTTATAATAAGAAAATTTTATCACATTTTCTCGTTTGCATATCACACAGCTCGAGGGAAGAATACGCCATGGTTGCCTTCAGAAGCCAAAAGTATTCAAATCACTCTATGTGATCTTTTTGATACTACAGGTAGCAATCAAGAAAGAGAGGTAGCTGAGTGGTATGTGGTATTAGTTGATATAAAAATAGTAGTGGGATACCACCTGAATGATAAGTGAAACAATCTCTGAGAGAAATGGCACCATAATTAGCTCGCAGGATAGACGACTGGAACGCTGGAAAGAACACTGTGAGGAGCAGTTTAATCGGCCTACAGCCATGCTCAACCTGCCGAACATCCAATGCCTCCCTGAATGGGATATAGACACAGGTCCTCCGTCCTTAACTGAGGTTGCTAAAGCTGTCACTAGTCTGATCAAGGCAAAGCAGCAGGACCTGATAGGATGACTCCAGAGGTATTTAAATACGGTGGAGACAGTTTACTGTCTGCATTAACTGAGGTACTAGGCAGCGTCTGGGAATCAGAAGAAGTCCCATCGGGTTGGTGTAAGTCACTGATTATCCCCATATATAAGAAGGGAGACAAGTCTTCCTGTGATAATCACAGAGGGATTAGCTTGACTAATATAGTATCTAAAGTCTTAGGCCCAATAATCATGCGTAGACTGAGTGGTGCTCGGGAGGCACAAACACGAGAAAAGCAGACAGGCTTTAGACCAGGAAGAGGGTGTATTGACCATATCTTCACCCTTCGACAGATTCTAGAACATAGACATTCTTACCAGCGTCC